CGCAGTCATTGGGAAGGAAGCTAGATTTCCGCTTGCCAAATTGGACAAATTGAGTGCAGGAAGTAAAATAATCGCTAAGCCCAGAAGCAACCCAGTCTGGAGAGCCGCAGGCGAATGTAGTCAAAACAAGCAGACGCCTACGCATGGCAACCCTTATCTAGATCTCTTAGAGCGGAATGGACTACAAGAGCAACAGTATCTAGAGTGCCTTATATGCAAATTGTAAAGGATCGGAAAATTGGAAAAATATGACTTCATACTAGTTAGTACAACTAGTTCAGTGAATGTCAGTAGTGCGGAAGAGAAGGCAATTCGACGAAAAGGGTAGGACCAAAATTAGTGGAATTCTAAGAATAGGAGTGACTTTTACTATAAGCGAGACTTCAGAAATTTTTAACTCTAAGGAAGACATGTTTACGGGCAGGAGCTATCTGAGAACACCAAGATTTAAGAAGATAAGGTGAGACACCATCCAGTGCGGCAGCTGCTCATCCGACGATCATTTACGGTGTTTTTGTAGTGTTGCCACACATACAGGAAATTAGTTCAGAATGTTGGGGATGGGCATCGTCATCCAGAATACAACGAGGAAATTGCCTGGTCGTTTTGAAATCTCGTTGTATGACAGCGTCGACTAAAAAGACATAAGAAAAACCGACAGCAGAAGAGAGCATTCGGGAGACTCGTTGTCAAGTTAATAAATCTTTTTTGAGCAAGTCAGGAAAAATGACAAGAGAACAATAAAGGATGAAGGAAGTTTACGAATTTTAGTGAAAAGGGTCTCAGTATGGAGGGAAAAGAAAAGAGTTAAAGACAAAGTAACACCAAGGTACCCGAAGGAGTAGACCTCGTAGCGAAAAATGTCAAAGGATTCAGGACTAGGAGAGGGTTGCAGTCGGAAAATACACCCGACTGATTTTTGACTATTTGGTAGGAGACCATTTTTCTGTGAGACATCGTCAAGGCCATCCTTCAGAGATTGGAGATATGTCTGATTTTTGAGAGAATGACCATTAAAAACATTGTCGACATGCTTAACTAACAGGCAGTCGTTTAGGAATCTTAGACAATCAGTGTGGAAGGACTCGCATATTCGCCTCTGTCCGTAATAAAAAATAAATTATTTCGGTACTCGACCAGCATCCTTTTTGCTTACTGATACATGCACCTGGAACTCAAACATTCGCACTCAATGTTGTTTGCCCGCCACTGGGAACGTTAATCACTGACCCTCTTTCCAAAAGTACGTGTACCTCTTCGAATAGATCTCATTTTTAGACAATTTCACGACGGGAGCCCAGGTGGTCACTTATGGAAAGGACTCGCCAGGGAAGGCACTGGGGTAATTAAAGCTTTCAGAGACTGTCGACTATTTATGGTTTGGATGGCCACCCAAATTCATTTACTAACCAGTTTAGTAAATAAAACTGGAGACTCTCAACAGCAAGGTGGTCATTGAAATCTCGCACTGCTGCAAACCACCGACTTTGAATGGACACTGCTCAGAGGAGGTGCCATTAAGATAACGTCTGCGAATAAGTTTTAGACAAAACCTTCTCCCGCCCACGGCCTGCAAAGCGATTTTACCGCATACCAAAAGCCTCGGCTCGGATCATACCGAACCAAAAAACTGGTAGAATTCAAGGATGAACTTTCTAATGTGGCAGGATATTGATTTTATCCTTACTATTTACACAGATCGACACCCCGTGGAGGAAAAACAGACTTTTGTCCGTCAAAGAGACGTGGCAGTGTCTGACATGAAGACCAAGCGAAACAAATGTAGGTATCTTATATCACGTGCTATTTTTCGGTATCTTCTCCTATCGATGGACTGTCCTTTGTTGAATATTCGTGATTAACACCGTAACTTGTAATATACGAGTTTTCTGTTCTCCTGGGTTTCGGTAAAAAGTTAATTCTCTGCTAGCAAATGAGTACTCACAGAACAACCGATGCTGTCTTTGATGCTACGGATGTTCGGCAGGGTGAAATGGACGAATTCTGTGTTGAACGGTTTGTCTTGCAAATGCCTGCATATTTCTTCACCCTGGTCGTTCATTGTAGTTGTCCCTGAACTGCAGGAAAAAACCGATTTCGGCTTTCAAACATATTTTTTTAGTGATCTTTAGAAAAAACTGCAGCCATTGATATGATAGAAGGGCGCTCACCGATCGTTCTTACGGAACGCACTCATCCCGTTGTGTCTTACAGGTTTTCTCTCGAGCCCAACAAAGGAAAGGGAGACTGGAATGGTCATTTCTGACTTATTAGCCGTCGTCAGCCAGTCATGCCAAACCCCTAAGTGTGGTCACCTGGGGCTCGAACTCGCGACCTGCTAGTTGGAAGTCCAACGCCTCTAACTACTGAGGCAGTAAGTATGACTGGCTGACGACGGCTAACAAGCCAGAAATGGCCAACCCAGTCTTCCATGTCTTTGTCGGTAATAACATTCTGCCTATATCATGCACCGCTGTGCGGCTGCTGGTTGGGCTCAAGAGAAAGCCCGTAGGGCGCAACGGAACAAGTGAATTCTGTAAGAACGATCGGTGAGCGCCCCCTACCATTGTATATTTCTAGTCGCAGCCGACAGCACAACGAGCCCATGGCTCAGTGGTTAGAGGCGTTGGACTTCTAACTAACAGATCGCAGGATCGAGCCCAGCTGTTCCACACTCCTGGTTTGGGTATGGCCCGCTGGCGACGGTTAATAAGTCAGAAATGGTCATTTCAGTCTCCCTTGTCTTTGAACAAGGCAAAGGCGACACAGCAGGCAGAATTTACTGACGTCATAAATTTCGAGACCTCTCATTCAGCTGCACACGGTCATTGCATAGTTATTAGACATGGCAGACTGTTCAATCAACGGCCGACCTAGAGGTCTCAAAATTTATGACGTCAGTAAATTCTGCATGCTTTTTTGCCTTTGCCTTGTTCAAATTTATTCCGGGAAAACATTGCTTCAACCCCTTGTATTTGTCGGTAATAACACTTAGTCACGGATATTCCAATCCCAGAGATTGTGACAAACCGAACGGGTTCCGAGGTTCATTGGATTGTCGCATTGCCCCGACATAGGATAAAATGGCACAGCCTAAGGCCAACTTTTCAAAATACTATGGCCAAACAGTCTTGGCGTCGACCAATCTCATGACATGATAACCAAAATGTTGAAGTGTATTTTCGATTAGGAAAGATTACTTAACTAGATATGGAAGATCAATTATCTTGCGGCAAAATACCACGATATTTCGAACTCGTCAGGATGTCGGCCTTCGAATTCACTTCTTTCCGATCTGTAAAAACGACACTTGGTAGAAAATGACTACTTAAGTACGGCCACTTTTTTGATTTTTTATTTGTCTACAAATTCAGACATCGTTTGGGAAACATGCACTAAAACATTCTTGTTTTTACTCATTGGGTAGCAAATTATGTTTTCTACGAATTTTTGTCTATAGAAAAAGTTCCTTTCGGCTCTAAAACATGTTTTTAAATTCTTGAATTAATTGAAGTTCATTCTGCTTTTAGTTACGTTTAGCAATTTTGGTTTACAAAGTATATACTTTTTGCCTGAGGAAAATCATATATTTTTCCATGCCTTTGAGAAGACAACATGCAGAGTTCACCAAATTTCTCGACGGCTGCGGAATGTATTATATACTTCATGAAGAGCCTTAATAAATGGAAAGTATGATGCTCAATATATGAATGAACATTACGTAGTCTAAAAAATCTCAAAAGTATAAACTTTTGAAAATCGAAAAGTACCCTTCTTCGGGGATAGAAGTAAAAAAAATGTAATTTGCTACCAAATGAGTAGAAAAAGAAATATTTTGGTGCATGTTTACTAAAAAATATACTTGAATCTATAAAGACATTGAAAATGGGTGTGGAAAAATTCAGACTATTTCAGTGGCAACTTTCTTGCCAAGTAAAGAAGAAGCACTCAAAAGCCGACATCCAAAGAAGTCTAAAATGTCGTGGGATTATACGGCATGATGATCAGTCCAGAAACCCCATCCAAGTAATCCTCCTTAGCCGAAAACACTTTTTAAAAGGTCAGCTTACATTTTATGAGACCTGTCACCGACTGTGGCATAGAGCTGTCCCTATGGCTGGTACGAAAAGTAAAATTATATACTTTGCTTACTTTACTATCGATTCTAGACCCGGTATTCTTTTAAACTAATTTTCGCGGTCGTTCGAACAAAAATAACAGTTATTTACTACTACAGTCGTCATCTGCTGACTGAACTTCTTCAGTATTTCTGATCTGTCGATGGATGGTCTGTAATTTACACTCCAGCCATGTATATACCACTGCTCCCCTCCGACCGGTGTCCTGAATGACTGCCAACGGCAGACTGGCCAAAGCGAAATATGTCCAACCTCCTCTAGTAAGTTCGAAAATTAGAGGAAACGTTTTGATATGACAGCTCTCTCAGGAAGACTGTTGTTGCTTGTAATTATCTGTAGAAAGGTATGAGAAAACGCAGATAAATACTAGTTGTGCGTGCATATAATTGAAGAAAAGCGGATACCTCTAATTCAAACCAATGTCCTTCGGGAAGAACATTCCAGACGAACTGGTCGATAATTCGAATACGCAGACCGATCACCCCGAGGGGAAAAGTCAATGGAGAGGCGTCAAGATCATGCTGACAGTGTGATAGAGGACAACGCACGTGACCTCCAGTGATTGGCTGGCTCTTGTTTTGGGGAGTGTAGGCACTCCCATCACTACCCCCCCAAGTAGATCAGTACCGCTTTTGGTTTGAATTGACCTGCATCGGCCGTGTTTATCGGCGCACGCGGTTGGTCCGACGTCTTAGTCGTGCTTTATGGCCTGGAGACACGGGGACGGTGACTGATACCGAAGAAGGTACATCCGAAGTGGGCGCAGCAGTGGTTTCGGGAACCGACCGGAATGGCGAAGGTATCCAGTAGGATGTCAAGAGAGAGTGACGGCACCGACTCGAGCCCGGTTGTATTACTGCAATGTCGCCGTCGGATCTGGTTGTGGTGGCGAACCCAGACATCATCACCAAGGTCAACATCAAACAACATACTGCTTCTGTGCGCTACCACGGTTGCCTCATTACAGGAACTCAGGTCGATAATCACGAACGCGGACAGGTTTTCCGACGGAAAGATTGCTGCAAGAGACTGGAGAAGTCTGCGCGGGCTGCACACCCCTCGGGCCTGATCGATCTGCGTATTCGAATTATCGACCAGTTCGTCTGGAATGCTCTTCCGGAACCACAGTATGTCGTTATAAATATGCTTTACTTCCAGTTAAGCTTGACTTGCATTTTCCTAATACACATTTTCGTGGCCAGTCGCGTTCTCCTTCTCTGCCGCGTTGGTATTGGGGACAAGAGTCGGGTACGCGTACGCTCCCACGTGCTACTAGGCCGGGTCATGACAGTGTGTAGTCCGTGTGCGTGTTTGGTGAACAAGGCCGTGTGTGTGGTGTGCACAGAGGGGCACTCTAGCTCTGTCAACTACTGCACCTACTTCCGACATCGGACATCTGGCCGACTCGAACAGTTGGCTGGTGCCTGGGACTGGGAAGAGAGTGAGTGAGGTCGATGTCTCAACACACTTACCTCACCATAAACAGTCTGACGCGCTTCAGGCTATCACGGTGAGTTAAAAGCCGTGACTTGAAGGGTTGCCAATCGACAAGATAACTCGGAACTCACAGTCAGCTCAATGTGACGGACTGAAGGACTGTGAGTCAGGTTGCAATGGTTCATTCTTACAGTAAGTGGGTTAACTCATGAAATGTCAACCCAAATTCCGAAATGCGTTTTTGGTTCGAATTTTTTCAATTCCCGAATAATTATGAATTCGCTCTACTGATACACTTGGATTCAGGGTTTCTAAACTACAAGCCGCATATTCTCCGCGTACGGAAAACCATACATTTGTCTACGCTATTAAGAGGACACCATATGCAGTTCATAAAATTTAGCAATGGATTTGTGCCATATTCTTAACTTTACAAGTCACATTGGTAAGTGCAGAGACATGACGCTCAAGGAACGGCCATTTCACAGTATCAAAAATCTCACAATTAAAAACTTTTAAAAACCGAATTATACCCTGCCTTCGAACATAAAATTGGTAGACGTACTTTTCTACCGAACGAGCAAGTGGATGAATATTTTTATGCATGTTCTCCATGCAATATAAATGAATTTTTAAGGACAGTGCAAATCAATTAGAAAAATGCGTGCCGCTAAGTAGTCTTTTTTACAGAGTATAGTTTTTGTATGCAGCTGGACGGAAGTTCGTTCGAAAGCCGGCATCCTGAGGTAACTGAAATATTATAGATTTATGTTACAGGCTGACTAATTTAACAACCCTACCTAATTACTATTTTCGAAACGAATCCGCATTTCGGGATTTCGATTGACACCCACACCTGCAGTAGTGTAGCCTCCATGGCACTCACACCCAGTGGGATACGAACCGCCTCCCTTCTTCTCTTATTGTGTGAAATCCTGATCCCTGTGCGTTGTGGATCAGGGGATGTGGTGGTACGCCTAGGGGGGGGGATTTTCTTCTTGCCAGCCACCTGCGCCCTCTTTGGCTTCCAGTTTTCTTGACTCTTTCTTGACGCCGGGCCCAGGTGGGGAAAGGAGGAGCGAGTGCGGTAGATACCGTCCCGGTCTGATATCGCTATAAACTAATACACGTGCGAGTCACCGTCCCTGCTCTCACCCTGCTATGGGGCACATGGTAGACGTAGTCGAAATCGGCGGTCCAATTGTCACTAATGCTTTCAACAACGGTGTCATTGAGGCCACATTAAGAGGGAGCCATTGCGGCCTGACATCAGCTGGTGATCTCCCATGTCACGATCGCAACACGTCATGTCAGCTTGGGGTGTGGCAGAATTATTGAAGTGAGGACTGAGCTGGGGATGTAGTAAGAATGTATTCCCCAGTGTCGGCCCCACTCTCTCATTCCCCACCCACGCGCCAGCCGATTGTGTGAGCCTGTCTACCAAGGGACGATGTAATTGGCTGACGAGGTATGAAGGCCTACGTCTAGGTATGCTAACACACTCCTACCATTGCCGATAGAAGCAAACAGGCGAGTTTCAGGAAGCAGTTCAGAAAAAGCAGTCACTGGAACAAGAAGTTTATTGGCCTGAACTTTCGAATTCTTATTCAAACCCACCATCAGAGACGGCTGCAACGGTCGCAGCCTCAGCGTCGCTGAGACGAGGCTCCGTCTGCAATCCCACAGGAGGCCACAAGATCGGCCCTTTCTGCTCCTTCGCATCTATGCTCCACCCCTCACCGCTGGCCCTCTCTGTTCTCTACCTTGCGTCCTTGATCTAAGGAGCATCGCATCGCCACCTCCAAGATGAAACTTCGTCCGCAATCCCACAGGAGGCTACAAAGTAAGTGACCCACCCCCCGTGTAAGGCTTTTACTTGTTCTTGCTTGGTTACCCTGGTTCGTTTGAGTTTGTCCTTGTTGTGAGCTAAACACCGTTCTGTTGAATTAATCTGCTCAGCGTTTATATTTAAGCAACCAGTTAACTTAGAGAGGGCTGGGAAACTCTCCTTCTTTACTCTCTAGTTCCTGCCCTACCCAGCTCTTCACCTCGCTCAAAAAGTCCTGCGGCGAGAGCGACAGCGACCACGTAGGCGGTCTAGGCTAAATCGGGTCGCCCTCCCATTAAACAAAGTCGTGGCCTATTGTGGAGTCCGGCAGTTGTCTGGGACGACTGAGCTATCCTATTTAGGGAGAGCACTGCTCACCCACGCGAGGGGGACGGGACTAGAAAAAATGCCCGAATAATTTCTGGTAACCACACTGTACGTAGGCTGACCGCGACTCATAGACGCAAAACTCACAGTCCAAGCAATAAAATCCGAAACAACACTCTCTGCTCCCCCTCCTCTCCCCCGTCCCCTCGCCAGACTGACAGGGTGAGTCCACTTACTCTGGCAGCCTGGAATGTTCATTCCCTTTTAGACAATTCCAGGAGCAACCGACCGGGTCGGAAGACAGCGCTAGCGGCTCCAGAACTGGCGCTCTACAAGGAGGACATCGCCGCACTCAACGAGACCCGCTTCTCCGAACAAGTCCTCCTAGAGGAGGTGCGTGCTGGCTACACCTTTGTCTGGAACGGTCGCTCCAAGGCAGAGAGACGGGACGCAGGCGTCGCTTTTGCCATTTGAAACGACATCGTGGGACGACTGCTCTGTCTGCCGCAGGCCTAATGAGCGTCCGCCTGCTTCTCCAGGTAGGCAAATCCGCCACCTTCGTCAGTGTTTACAATCCCCCGATGACCAGCCCTAATGCTGCAAGGGACAAACTCTACGAGGACATGCACGCCTTCCTGGCGACTGTGTCGAAGGCGGAGAAGTTAATTGTCCTTGGTGATTTTAAGACCCGCGTCTGCACAGACCATGTTGCCATGGTCTCAACGGCTACAATGACAATGGCATACTAATCCTACCTACCTGTGCAGAACACCCGTTCCTCTTGAAAAACACATTCTTTTGCCTTTCAACGCGAGAGGAGGCCACCTGGATGCATCGTCGGTCGCATCAGTGGCACCTACTCGACTATGTCCTAGTGCAGAGGCAAAACCAACAGGACGTGCCGGTGACAAAGGCTGTGCCGAGTGCCCACGGGTGCACTGACCATTGCCTCGTCGTCTCCAAGATGAGGATTCGCCTACAACCTCGCAGGAGACTTAAAGGTAAGCAGCCCCCGGCTAAGTTGAGTATTGCTTTGTTTGCGTTGCCTGCTCACCATCTCCATTTCTTCAAAGAAGTAGATCAAGGGTTAGTCTACATTCCGGTCGATGCCGCCGCCGAGGAGAACGCCTTCGATGATGTTAACTGCGGGACACAAACCAGTCGACGGCCCTGGCCGTCCTCCGTCGCGCACGTTGCCGATCTCAGGACTGGTTCGGCGACAAAGCCACTGTCATCAGCAACTTACAGACTGCATAAAGTCCACATCACCTACCCCACCGACGACAACAAAGCAGGGTTCTGCCGTAGTCATCGCCTTGTGCAACAGCGGCTGCGCAAGATGCAAGACACCAGGGAGGTTCGCATGGCCGAGGAGATCCAAGGGTACGCTAACAGCAACAAATAGAAGAACGTCTTCGCGGCGATCAAGGCTGTCTATGATACGCCAACCAAAGCAAATGCCCCCCTCCTCAGCGCCGGCGGCTGTACTCTTATCGCTGAAAAGACAATTCCTGCAGCGATGGAATGAACACTTCAGAAGCGTCCTCAACCGTCCCTCAACCATCTCCGACGCCGTCATCGCCCGTCTGCCTCAAGTGGAGATCAGCACTGACCTCGACCCGCCGCTCTCCCTCCTCGAAACCATCAAGGCCGTGCAACAGATTTCCAGTGGAAAACCCCCTGGATCGGACCCGATCCCTGCCTAAATCTACGAGCACGGTGGCTTCCAGCTCACGGATCGCCTGACTGCGCTCTTCCAGGGCATTTGGCGCCAAGGAAAAGTTCCTCAGGACTTTGAGGACACCACAATCGTCCAACTATACAGTAGGTGGGCTAACTCATGAAATGCCAACTGAAATTCCGAAATGAGTTCTCGGTTCGGAAAGATTAATTAGGAGGGTTTGTAAAAATAATCAGTATGCGTATACTTCTATAATAATTCAATTACTTCGGGATGCTGGCTTTCGAGAGACCTTCCTTGTGGTTACATGCAAGAATGATGCTCTGTAAAAAATGACTGCCTAAGTTGCATGCATTTTTCTTTTTGATGTTCGATGCCTTTAAGAATTCAATTATATTTCGTGGAAAACATGCATAAAAATATTCATTCTTCCGTTCATTCGGTAGAAAATTGCGTCTTCTTTCAATTTTATACTCGAAGGAGTTGCGTAATTCGGTTTTAAAAAGTTTCTAATAGTGAGACTCAGTATCACGAAATGGCCGTTCATAAAACGTCATGTCTCTGCATTTACTAATGTGGCTTGTAACGTTAACAATATGGATAAAATCCAATGCTAAATTTTATGAACGCCATATGGTCTCCTCTTAATACCGTGTGGTTTTCCGCACGCGGAAAATACATGGCTCGTAGTTTCGAAACCCTGAATGCAAGTGTGACGGCAGAGCGAGTTCAAAATTATTCGGGAATTGGAAAAGCTTTAAAAAATCAAATAATACCCTTCCTTTGAGTATAAAACTGAAAAAAGACGTAATTTCCTACCGAATGAGCGGAAGAATGAATATTTTTATGTATGTTTTCCATGAAATATAATTAAATTTTTAGGACATCGAAAATCAATGGGGAAAATGCATGCTACTTATTTAGTCATTTTTTACAGAGCATAATTTTTGCATGCAGCCACAAGAAAAATCTCTCGAAAACCGGCCTCCTGAGGTAACTGAACTATTATTGAATTATACTGCAGACTGATTACTTTTATAAACCTACTTAATTAATCTTTTCGAAACGAAAATCCATCTCGGAATTTCTGTTGAGATTTCATGAGTTAGTCATGAGTTAGCACCCTCTCCCGCAACACCAAGATCGACGATGAAGTGGCCTGCCGGATTTCTAAAGGCAGCCAAGCTCAAGGTCGTCTGCAAAACACAGTCTAGAATAGACACGATCTCCACCACAGCACCAAACTGAAAATGCACAAAGCGGTCATCCTGCCGACGTCGCTGCATGGAGCAGAGACCTAGACGGCGTACAAGAAGCAGACACCAAGGCTCAACCACTTCCATCTCAGCTGTCTTGGACGGATACTGAAGCGGAGGTAGCAGGACCGGATCGCTGACACGGACGTACTGGGATGGGCAGGAATCCTCGGTATCTGCGCTACGCTGAGACAATTGCAACTGGGCTGGAGCTGCCACCTCGTGCAGATAGACGACGAGCGGCTACCCAAAGGACTCTCGCAAAGAGATTTCGCCTCGGGTTCTCGTCAACAAGGAGGCCAAGTCCGGAGCTACAAGGACCCTCTGAAAATCTCCCTGAAGCGCCTTCAGATCAATCCGGTCAACTGGGGAGATATCATCCGTGACCGACCGACCTGAGGGAGGATGGTGAAGATTGGCGCAGCAATCTAGGAAGCCAATTGCGTCACCAACGCCAAGGCCAAACGCGAAGTTCGAAAATCTCAACTGTCCCCGCCTCGCCAGGCCAATGTTCAATCGCCCCCAACCTGTTAGCGGACGTTCCGGACACCAATCGGCCTCATTGTACATCTTCGTACTAACTGCCGCACCCGGACGACACCACCCCATGCCCCCGTCAACCTCCGCCTCGCCCCCAACGCGGGCAGTCAACACTGACCGCACCCATGAACTCTCATTGCCATCTTCCTCCATCGCCTCAACATCTACTGCGACAGCTCCTGTACCCACCACACACCGACGCTACAAGGACACATTGAAGAATTCTCTTAAAGAATTGCATATAAATCCAGAGACCTGGGAGGTCCTCGCCCAGAACAAACCGGCCCGGAGAAGAGAAGTGAAGACTAGCCTTGTCATCCATGCAACAAATCGGATCGTCGCCGCCGAAACCAAACGAGAGGCTCTCAGAACGCAAGTGCCTCGCCTCCTCAATGTCAACCACTCGCCGCTTCCAACATGCCCGCGCTGCCACCGCATAATCCACTCGCGAATCGGTCTGCCAGGCCACCTTCCAACACAATACACCATCAATTCGACAACGTCTGCTTCGTTCCTACCGCAAACCCGCGCCGAACGGAGCCTCCGTCACCTCTAATCGCAATGTCGCCGTCCCGCCGCCGCCGCCGCAGCCGCCGCCGTCGCCGCCGCCGCCACCATCCGCCCTGCCTCAACCCCTGTATCGGCCACAGCGACCAGCATCACCACCCCCCGACTTCCCACACGTCCCCACCGATGGGGCGACGTCTGACGTCCTACCACCTCCTACGATCACCACTAACACTCCACCTCCAGCGACGTGGACTCGGTTCATACCTGTCCTCTTTGCGATCGCACATTCCCCTCACAAATCGGCCTGGTCGGTCGCTTGCGAACCCATCGCATAGAGACTGGTAAACCAGTTCCTGGATCGGCAACCTACACTCACCGCATCCGTCTCCACTGTCCTCACAGCCCGCACACATTCACTCACCGCATGGAACTCATAGGTCAAATGCGTATCCATTAAAGCGGAATTAACCGCAGAATCAATACACATAGAGCATCTTGCACATCCACCATGCCTAGCCCAACCAAAAACCCGCCGCCCAGAGAGCCCTCCAAGAGTAGCACCAACACCACCAGCATAATCGAAACCGACTCCGACCCTACCCTCGCAAATTCAGTCACCTCGTTGGTCTACTAGTCCATATGCGCATTCGTAAAAACCTGCAGTATGCAACCGCCGGCCATACCACACCCTCACACATCTCCCCCAGCAGTACCTACACCACAAATCAACATCACCCATCGCCTCGCAACGCAGTCAGTCAATTGACACCGGTCACTTAAATGGGAACTATGCTTCTTGGTGCCTTCTCCATGTGGCTTCTCTACTGCATGTGTGATCCGAGTCCGAGACTATCACGGTGTGCCATGCACCGTTGTAACGCCCCTTGACCTGAACAGGGTTGTTAGAGTGCTGTAACACTTTTGGGGCGGATCTGGGATGGCGTGCTGATGAAGACAGCCGGTGTCACTTTCTCTCGCTACCGCCGACACTCCCTCCCACGACGCACCGCCGTTCTCGTCTATCTCCCTCCCTCTCTCTCTCTCTCACTAAATGTTGGCTCCCCCCTCGGCCCCTCCATGCAGTTGCCCACAGCGCTGCATCCCCGCCGGCTGTTTAGCTAGTATGTCAGGGTCGCCTATCCATCCAGACAGGTTATCTCATTGCAGTTTCTCATTTTGTATGTACACTAACAATTATTATGCACATCTCCCGTGTCCATCTCGTTATATTATACTATATCCCTTACTCGACGTACCTTCTTCTCCTGCGTGTGAGTGAGTATCAAGAGATGCTAACAGTTCTGTCCAGATCTATTTCCGCCCGGATCTCATCACAGCGTTTCCCTACTTCGGTGTGTGCTACCCTTGACGTCCTCGGCTGCTACACGTGAATTGGAAGGCTGCCGGCTGACGCCTCAACTCAGTCCATGCAGTCAGCCCAATTATGTGTGTTTGCATGGAGCGGCGGACTAGTGGGTAGAGAGTTGGGCTGCCAGGGCTCCTTCCCGAGGTGATCTCTGGCACTCTCGCGCATGCGAAGATTGCGTGTGTCCTTTATGAGTGGTGCCCTTGAAGGGTGATGGTTCAGGCTGCGTGTCGCCCTTCTCGGCCTTAAGGATTGCATGTGTCTGCCATGCCATGATTCAGCAAACTGCGGCTCTCGCAGCCAGGTGTGCGTTGGAAGTCCTCTGGCACCTGGATTCCTGCCGGGGGGGGATGCGCTTGTACTCCTGCTGGGTATACAAGCATTGTGCTTGGTTGTCCAGTCATCCAACTTTTTCTGATCCGTTTATTTATTGTTGTGGTTGTTGGTTAAAACCCTGGTCAAGTGTTTGTTGTGGACAACGGGAGGCGTGGGGGTACGACCAGGTGCTGGTTCGGCCGTGCCTACCACCTATGCCCTCCCTCACTTCCGGTCTTCTGGACTCTGTCTTGGCACCGGGTCCCGGTGAGGGAGGGCGAGGGAGTGCAGTAGATGCCGCGCAAGTCACCGTTTCTACTCTTACCTTGCTGTGGAGCATATGGTGGACATCGTCGGCATCGGCGGTCAAACCACTAAAGGTGGTTTTGTGCAAAAGTACTGGAGAATTGGGCATCTTCATGTCCGACTGAACATCAATTCAAATCACAAAGGACCTCTTTCTTCCGCTTCGCACATAGCAACGCCTCTAACAAATTTTCAAAGACCTCGACCCACCATTTTGGAATGGGGTCCAAAGAAGGTGATTCTATCCTGCCTGATCAAAAGCCAGCGGAATGTGATTTCAATGAGGAAACTTATTTTTGCCCTAAAACATTATAACAGTTTAGATTGGTTGCCCGTTCAGTCGATAGCTTTCAGTTGAGAATTGGTGCATAGGTACTTTGTAGTAGATCGCAGTTTAAGCTGCAGATTTTTAAAATAATGATAACAAGACCGACTATGGCAGAAACGATACATACATAAGCAGATTGTCCGGGAAAGGCGATCCCACTCTTCCCTACTGAGTCGGTCAACATTTTACTGGTAGCCAGTGTATGCAAACGCAACCCTAAAGTAGTCAGAAAATCAGCATAATCAGGTTAAATGAATGAGCTCAACTGTGGCATTTCAGTTTAAAGAAGACAGCTGGTAACTCAGTTAGCAAGATTTGAATCAGCCAAGTAGTTTTTATTTAGACTATTTGAAAAAAATAGACCGGTGTTGATACAGGTTGGAAAGAGCATCTAATTGCCAAAAAAGAATTGTTTTGCAGAATGAACTTTCGAAATGGTTCTCCGATTCATCATCAAAGCTTCGTCTTATGCCACAGTTAATCAGGTCAACAAAAGGGCTTTGTCTCGGCCAGTCGGGGTCAATGTGGAATTTGTCTGCGATAGTTATGTGGTTGAACTTTACAACTTTCGATGACATAAGATGCTAAGTATTTTTGGTGAGGTTTGGTCCTGTAGGCCCGCTCGATTGATACGATACGGATAGTTTCCTAAAACAGTTTTATTTAACATAACAACCTTAATCACTCGCTGGATTAGGTAACGGAAGAGAGAGCGAGCAGAGCTCAAAACACACGCAAGGAAGCGCGTGTAAACCGAGGACTGGTGTAACCGAAGGTGTCGTGTACATGCTCTCCCCGCGATAGAGCCACTCGCTGGATTAGGAGGATACGGAGAATGCAATCACAACTGAAAGGCCGCGGAAAGAGCCGCGTGTCAATTCGTAGTACATGGCCACTACAGTGGAACCGACGGATTTCCAATCATCCGAAGAATGCCATTAGCAAACCTACTTAGCCATTCGCTGGATTAAGATAATAAAGGGGGCGCAAGCTGGGCTCGAAGCACGTGCAAGGAAACGTGTTTGAACTGGTACTGATGTAGCCCAGGTTAGCGTATAAGCACTCCCGTCCCCGAGGCACAGACACTCGCCGAGTTAAAGTAGTAAGGAGGGCACTAACACATGATCTGTGTAAAGTCAGCAGCGGTTTTAGGAAGCTAACCGTATGGTATCAATCAAGTGGGGCTGCAGGACCAAACCTCGCCGTATTTTAAAGTGATACACTACTGTCCTCCATTGGGGAAGAACTGTTATGTAAAGTCGAGAACGAAATTCTCGCGATCGATCGATTATGACTCACGGGACACCAACCAACTTCCCAGTGCAATGTCCCCCCCCCGCCCCGTATTCGGTACTGAGACTTAGTTGGGCCAAAGTAATTAACCTCTTGGGGAGCGCGCAATCCTAAGCGGTATTTCGACTGTAGCAAGGGATGACGTCTAGGGCTGCCTAACAAGACGGACTCAGCAACGGCGACTTGAAAGTGGATAAGTTTACAGAAGAGCAGACGTCCGCTTCACACAACTCGTTAAGTTTACCTCACCCAAGCACGAAGCAGGACTTGTGCAGCATCCACTACACCCCCACTTCGATGAAAAGACAAAGTCAAGATGGGCGCGGACGGTCCGTCTACGCGTGCCACGCAAGCCACCACCCCCTTAGCTTGGTGCGTACCAGGTTTATCTGGGAAGACCCAGTTCTCATTCGGGCGAGAATGCCATAAAGTTATTGCAGCTCGACCCCGTTCTGAGTAGAACTAGTCTACCTTGCCAATTGGCGGCCTTTAGAGTGACATATGCTAGTGCATCGCAATGCGAGATAATCGCATATATCTAACCAGACCAATGCACAACTGGAGAGTGCGATCTGGAGTGCTGATTGGTGTGCGTGTACCGACGGCGTTCCCACCTTCGTGAGCGCAAACGTTTCCGATCAAGATGGCCCAACGAGGGCAAACGAGGGCATTAATACGGGGGATAGTGGTGGCGTTTTGTTGTGGAAGTTGATTTGAATGGGTTGACTTCGTGGCAAATTAAAAGGCGATCAGAAAGGCGATTCTGGGCTTCGGACGCGCGTGGACAGAAAGCGGACCAGTAAGGTTTACTTGCCGACTTCGTACAAACATTTCCGAAACCGCTTCGTTAATTTTGGGACACGTAGGTGATGACTTCAACATCTCCTGGTCAAATTATTATTGATTACTTTGTCAGCGAGTGATTACGACGACTTCCAAATAGAACAGATGAGTCAGTCTGTGCTCAGCAGCCCCAACGACGGTATCGTCGTTCCATCGTGCTTGAATTCGCTGCGTCTTAATACAGATGTTTAGCATGCGGAAAACCTGGCGAACGAACCAAATATTTAGGTGCGGCGATTGCATGTGCGAATATAGTGGAGACAGATAAAGAGGGAGTCAATCGGAGATTCTGATGCTAGTCATTCAGTCGCAGAATACTGACCAGATCAATGCACGATTTGATTGCACGGTCGGAATGCGGACGGACTGATGTCAAGTCTGCACTGCTGGTAATAGTCATGGTGGCGGTATCCCCAAAACGGGCCGCGCAATAAATGTGCTAGATCGACACGGTGCCTCGATCTGAGTCCGGCAGGCGTTATCGGGAGTGTGCGCCCGTAACAAAGGCCAACACTGGGGGGGGGCGGTGTAGCGGCAGGCCTACACCGTGTCTATTCGTATCCTTACCATCCCCTTTTTTCTCTTTGTGTATAAGATCCTGATCAGCTTGCGTTGTGGACCTGGAGGTGTGATGGTATGCCAACATAGAGGTTTTCGTTACGCCAGCCACCTGCACACTCTCCCGCCTCCTAACTTCATGACTCTGTTTTGATACCGAGTCTAGGTGTGGAAGGAGAGAGTGCAGTGGGTGCTTTGCAAGTCTGCCACCACTTTAAACTAACTCATGAACAAGTCACGTCTCTGCTCTTACCCTGCTGTGGAGCACACGGTGGACATCGTCGGTCACGACGGTCGAACTGTCGTGCTTCACAGGATCGTCTTCC